TTTTGCGGTGAAGTGATAATGTTACAGCTCTCAATTAATCGTTATTAACTTAATTAAAAAATGATTACGACATAAAAACTAATTTGTATAATAATACCGTTTACATGCATTAATGATTATATGAAACGCAGCATTTACGGACGTTTATCTTATGCATTCTGAAATTAAGATAAATAATTCTGTGACAAAAGTGATGATATGAAAAATCTCGTATGATATTTACTCATAAAAAGAAAATACTTTCGTCCTGTTTAATACATTTTAAAGTATTAAATAAAGCGATAGTTTCGAATTTCTTATTGGGCGGCAAGCGGTACCACGTGACTTTCTCCCGCGCTTCTCCATACACAAAGCGCTCATGTGAACTCCAAGCGTAAGCTAAACGTACTATTATTATTTGCGGCAAAAGCGATATTATATTGTTCCATTTTTAATTACCCTGCGGGTGAATCTGTCGTCGGGTGTAACTGCATGGTTAATTCTCCGAGCTTATTAAACGCTGCTCCGGCTGCGGTGAAAATTTCACCAACCTGAAAGAATAACAAACTAGTTGATCGTTTCAAATATATAAGAAACAAAAATTGATGTTACTCATATGAATTTTGGTTAACAACTAAATAAGCGTACCGTGATAACTACATCTAAAAAAATTTTGAAAGGAGAAGAAACGATTAAAAAAAAAGAAAAATGTTGTTTAAACATTATCATAACCTAACCTTCTGACCGCTTACAGACTCCATTGCTAGGGTACCCGAGGATAAAAGCACGTGACTCACGTAGAAAAAGGAAGACGAGCGGTGGGGGAAAACGACCGTTAAGTATTATATGGCGGGAAACTGCCTAAAATCGGCGACAACCTTTGCCTTTTCGCTTACCTTGCTCGCAGAGTTCATGTCAGTTTGTGTTGTCGTTCTTCGCCATCAGTCCACAAACCTTTGTACGGTATTGCCATCTCGCGTCGGTCTCATTGTCAGTGTAGAACGTCATCTACACCACAAACTCAAGCTACATACAGACGTTGCATGTTATATCAGACTTTTTTGTTTAGGGGGTCCATAGGACCCTGTATCATTTCAATGTCATACTTGACATTGTTGATAATTTACAAAATTAGCCTTGTTAGTAGAAATTATATTTTCTGTATACTTCATTTCTACTACGGACATTGAATACGACTTAACGGCAACAAATTCATACGGCGCGTACTTTTAAATATAATGATAAACATAGTGTTTATTGAATATATTATGACAGAAATATAGTGGTCACTGACTCATTAGCATCGATATTGTTACGGATACATTCATTTCATAAATTATTGTACAGTATGTACGAATGAATTTATTAAATCGGATACGATAATAATTGTTCATACTGTTTCTAGCTAATCTAAAATAGAGTACTTCGCATTTTTAACAACTTATTATAATGTTAATTTTAAAGACTCCATCTTGGATTAGTTCATATTTTACAAGAATATTGTTTTATAAATAATATAAAGTTTAAATACATTCGGCCTCCAAAAAGAAATTTATAAAATAAAAATTTATTTATCATTTTCGTTAGTATAATATTAATTCTTCAATGTACAAAATTTATGAAAGTTAATCAAACCCTTCAAATTAATATAATGAAAATTTCAATTTAACTCAACAAATATTGTAGCTTTCAAGATAGAAGACTCATATATATATTTATATATAAAACTAGGCAAAAATCATGAAACTTAAAAGCTTGTATTACATAAAAAATTCAAAATCAAAAAATGATGATTTAGTCGTTTCCTGGAATTTCATATATAAGTACTACATCACATTTGTTTTTAAATAAGTTCTCTCTCATTAACGTCAAACAGTGATTGATTTGTCATACAATGACCCATAAACTCACACGTTATGCCTTACATACACTTAATTCTATGAAAACGTATTCTTCTTAGCACTGTAATGCAGAATGAATAAAAATTTAGCCTCGTGTTGCGAATTCTTGAAAACATATAACTTCTGTTCTGTAATATGTGGTAATTATTAATTAATTTTATTAGAGATTTAATTACCTTATTTTTTTAGCGCCAATATTAATTTAATGATTTTATTAATATGTATATACAAAACAATAAATACCGTGTATATTTTACATAATTTCTTGTAATGACTCTTTTAGATATCGTTTTTTAAAATTCAACGAAAAATATACCTGTCTGGAAACTTTGGCATGCAGCTGTATCCCTTAAACTTGAATATGTAGAAGATTTAAAATGAAAGTGTCTTTTAAATAAAGGTTTTTCATTTAAAAAACAATTGATACAAACATATTACAATTTTATAACGTACAAAGTATAATACACGTATTTGCGATAAAAGTTATAAGTGTATTTTTTAATTTTCAAATATTACTTCCAATTAATTTAATCATTTCTTCCGATGTATCATTTTTTAGACAGAACTGAGGAAAATCTCAAAATAACAGGATACGTCTAAATGTAAAATGAATTTGTAATTAATTAAATAAAAAGGTGCCGAATTAGCTTCTATACTTAATAGATAAAGTAAAAAATAGAATTAGCAGTATTCGCAGTATTTCCATGTCCCTAGCGTTGACGTACATTTCACTTACCTTTGACCTTTAAGATTATTTGTATTAGGTCACAGACAATTTCATTCTCCTGCCATATTTTTACATCAACGCCCGTGGATCGGTAGAGTATTAGAAGTATCAGTGCAGTAAGAACTCCATTCTGCGTCATAAGTTTATAAATTAATAGATTCTTTACAGCTCTCTAATATTTTCTTAGGTTACATAATTATAGGAACGTTTATTCGTATATCACAAACTTAGTATGCGACAAATGTAAAAATGTTACGAAATTTTTTGTTTACGAAATCAAGTAATATATATACGTAATTCTAATACTGGAATGATAGAATGGTGTTTATAGAATGTAATTACGATTGACATACAATTATTATTAATTAACAAGCATGAATGTAAACGACTTTGTGCATTCGCTTGTTTTAGAGATTATATTAGACGTATTATTGCTCATAGTGTAATTATTTCAATTAATTATATGGATCAATGATTTTTCATATTTTATTCATTAAATATTCGAACTTTAAATATATATCATATCAAGTTTAATATTTTAATTAAATCGATATATAAAAATGTTAAATAATATTAAAATAGAAAAATGTTGTCAATTGGATTTCTTATATTATATTGTATTTATATACACGGGCTTATTTAATGGAATAAATCACTACATAAACTAAATTTAGAAAAACAAGTTGGATAAGAGAAACAATCGTTTGATTTCTGTTTTTCGAATTTAATGCTTTATTTTACAATATGTATTCACGTCAGTTTTTGCATGCATAATTAAACGCGGTAATGGATTAACAATCTGTAGAAACCATTATTATATATAAATATTACAGGCGACAATGTTTATAACTTGTAATGCATGCAAATTTATTTTAAATAAATGTACATCCTTTACAGTTTCTCTTTATCAAATTCAAACTTTACAGTAATATCTGGATGATGGAGTGCAATTAGTTGAAGTATTAAAAAATCGATCTTTTTATATATCATAGACTGATTAAAAGCATGGATCGTATGCAAGAATTTGAAGAATTGATGAAGATATAATCTTAAAAGAACAGTCTAGGTAGCTTATCGGTACGGTCAAATGTTAACACTAAACGTACCCACATTTTATATAGATCTATTCCTACTGTAACCAATCAAATAACTCATTAACGAAATAAAAATAAACAAGTTATACGATTTATCTTAGTGGCAATAGAAACAAAAATAAAGACAAAAATTGAAAAACTGATTCATCAGAAACCATAAGAATTGATATAAAATGAAATGAACGAAAGAAAACTCAAAATTTTGTATTTCTAGAAATTAATTTTGTTTTTATAACATGAAAACCTGAACTACATTCAATTAATTAATTTTCAATTTTGAACGTGGACGAGGCCTGTCCAGCTACTGCCCGTACGGGCAGCCCACAGATCGCTCGGGTACAATCCTACCCGCTGGACAGCTCGTAACGCCGCTTCGTGCAAAGGTGGTTGATTTGTGTACTACTTTATAAGCTGTAATATTGATCGCCTGTTAAGGCCCTAACGCACGGACTCTAACACAACTGTATTTCCCCACTTCAGGAATGTATGCCCTTAGCTTTGCCCTAAGCTCTGCCCGTGGGCAAACAAGATTGCTCTTGCCTACAAAAACGCCTATTGAATTGACGTAGACTCTTTATAACATTCTACATCTAATAACAGAGCCGTTTTTTTAATTCTAGTGTTAACTGCGTTCGACGAGTATACGCTTCGTCTTAAAATCAAAATGATACTAATTCTTTTGAATTAGATGTCTTGGATAAATTGGATAGATTTTTTTAATAAATTATTTATTTTTTCAGATAAACATGTAACTCTTCTTCGTTTTGCTTTACCTCTTAGTTAGAATATATTATAGGCGTATTTGGCTTACGTTTACACTTCATTATTTGATTTCCTTGCGATCATTATCAGAGATTTCTGAAATTAAATTCCATAATTAACAGACTAACATGCTACAGTCCACACAAATATATTTGATCGTTTAATTCTAGATATGATGTATGACCGTTTAAATACGTCAACCACGCACTCGTTCAAACCTATAAGGAAAAATGGTAAAAATATTCAAAAGATATACCTACTCCCCAAAATTTAAGAAATAGAAAATAAAATTAATTTGATAACTACAGTTTCATACTTTATCAAGAATTATAAATAAGCAGGAACTGTTCAACTGTGGTCAGAATGAATATCCTTCTCAATTACCATTCTCAAAAAGATAATTGAAGATAATATCATATTCGCTTGATGTTTCTATGCATACATCGCAGGATCAAAGATCGTGCTAAGTCCGTATTCATTTATATGCCCAACGTCATTCGCACGCAAAATATTCACTGAATCGTTAGACGTCAATCAATGCACGGAAACGCATAAATCGTTAAGAACGGTGGCTCACGTTCTCTCGTAAATTAATAGTCTCCGCTTCCACTGGTTGTCTGCAGTGACCGCTACTCTTCGGAAGTTGCACGATTCCGTTAATATCTGTTCGATGTGCGTTGCTGGATCCCCGGTGAATTCGAGCGTCTTCAGTAACGGAAAGTCTTCGCCTTTCGACCGTCTCAGTCGTCTCGACGCGTTCCTGTAGCATTTCCACAGTTGCGGCTCGATCACGATCATCTCTGTCAGCGAGCAGGCTTTCTGCAGGAATTCCACCAGTCCTTTGTCTCCGTGATTCAGGTGTATCCACATAGTAACGGAGAAACAGAACACGACGTCGAAGCGTGACTTCTCGAATCGGCGAAGGTGCTCCTCGAGCGTCCGGTTACTGTCTACTGCCAAGAAATCGAGGCACTCGAAAATAATCCGATCCGGTCGTGGGTTGCGTTCTTGCGCCCGTTCAATTAAGATAGGATCAAGATCCATTCCTAACAGAAAAACCTCTGTTCGATCATTGGATAACGTCTTCTCCAGGAATTCCCGCAACACGAATGTTAAATCCTGAAAAGTATTTAGGCGAGTTGTCATTATTTACGAGTAGCTGAATTGGTCCATGAAAGGATTTAAAATCGATATATTTGTAAGAGAGATGGACATAGGCATGTATTACAGTAGAACTTCCAATAATGCGACTGAAAAATTATTGAAAAATAACTGTAAATTGAGATTATTCAAAAGAAAGTAATATAAGCAGAGAAAGAAGTTCGGCCAATGCCAAAAAAGGGAATTTAACTCGAGATTCGTAAACCTGATTTAAATCCCTATAATGTGGAAGTTTATAATGGCGTTATACGAAGTTCTACTGCATTCGATTGTAATTGTATTATGCACATTATTCTCATATTTAACACGTTAAATACCGTATCGGTCACCGATGACCAACGTTTCTGAATTGCTTGAAAAAAATTATAATATGCAAGATGACTGCTGTAGATTAAACATGTTTATAGCATAAATAAGTTAACAATAGTGTAATGTAAGAATTCTGATGCCAAATAATTAATAATTGTTCCTATTTATCTTCGTATACGTAAGTTACTTTCATGAATACAATTTGTTTTGTTAAGTATTAACAATATTTATAACGTAATAGTTCTTCCAAATAAAATGGGCCATCTCTCCCCGTCTCACCCTATCTTCAAAAATTTCAAAATATGTAATATCCTCTGAGTATAAAATTTTCATAGTAAATACATCAAATTTAAATACTTCTGAGGACTAATATATATAGGTATAAATTATTGGACTGAAAATATTTAAAAAATGTAGATATCTGATATTAATTGACGAATTAATACCATTTAATAACTTTTTTATTAAAAGTTAAATAAAGATTATGATTAAAATGCAGCGAAATTCGTATAAAATTTTATTGAATTTGATTAATTTAAGTAACATAAAGACAAAATGTTATGAAAAAGTATCGAGAAAAGTTTATCGCGTAAATGCTTCTATCTAGAATTTGTTAACACCTTAAACGTTAACTTTGAAAGAATTGCAGATTAATAGAGTGTAAATCGTTAAACAAATTTACGTCCTGATACAGGTTTGTAAATATTGAGACAAAGTAGAAATTTATCACTACTACAAATGAGACTTCGTTTTTATAACACACGCGTCCTTTATTTAAAATTATAGTATTAAGCTTCTCCAAACAATTATTGAAAATTGGATGATATAAAACTTTCAAGCAATACTTTTCGTAACATTGTCATTATCTATAAAAAATAAAAGTTGCAATCTGTCTGTTGAAAATTCCAAACCAACTTTGTAAACTTATTTTTCTTCCGTGTATTTGCATTTCCATTAGTCTACCTTGTTTAAGTTTACTGTAAACGGAACACTAGTTGCAAATAGATCGCACGTTAAATATTATTTGCGTGACAGAATGTCTGCTGTATACAGAAAAATGAGTACTCATAAGCGTTCATAATTGAAAAAACATGCTTATTATATACATGTGTATAAAATACGCATGTGATTCCTGTTACTTGTAATCAAGGCACATGTGACTTAAATGATATCAATCACCGTGAACGTACAGTCCCTGACCAAAAACGGGTCACCCATAGTTTTTTGGCAGTAATCGTGAAGTAAAATGCTACAATGTAGTTAATATTAATTCTTATTAACTACTCATCGATGTACATATATATTACATACTTCCGTAGTAATAATATGCATATTAATAATATATAATGTTCTATTATTGAGAGTTTATTGTCCAAACAGTAAACATTCTTTGCATTCTCCAGACATGAACTACATTGAAAATGTCTGAAGTTTACTGAAAACTCTTGTGTACATCACTTACCACTACAGTAGCAGATTTAAAAGCAAAAATCTAAGTGCAAACGCAGCATGTCAAAACAAGTGAATGCTATAATGAAAGCAAAAGGGAGAAACACAAATTATTAATATTTATTTATTTAATACATACGTGTATACTTACTATAACAGTTAATCAAAGTTATTATTGACAGTAAACATACCGGCACTTTATATAACACTATTTCTACCGTAACCAGTCAAATAATCAGTTACAAAACAAAGGTGAACAAGTTAAATATAAAATATTAAAAATGTAAAATTGTTCTTAGTGACAACATAAACAAAAGGAAAGACAGAAATTGAAAAACCGAATTGATATAAAGTGAAATGGTTGAAAGAAAATACAGAATATAAAATCAAATTTTAATGCCAGTCATTTAAAGTACATATATTTAACGTTAATTTACATTTCAACCTTCTAATCTTGGACGAATTTTAACCAGTTATCTGCATTTGACGAGTATGCACATCATCTTAAAGTTTGAAATGATACTATTTCATTGAACGATGAATTATTCATCTTTGCATATAAACATATAATTATTCTTTGTTTTTCTTCGATTTTTTCGAACAAGAAATTTTTGCAACTAAATTCCAGAGGTAACAGATTAATTAATATAATCGATGTGAATTGTTGCGAGTAAAATGTTTTATAATTCACAGTACACTACGTAATTCTATCTAGTTCCCGATTACCGCGAAAAATGTTGAAAACTGTGGTTGCCCCCAATCGTTTGATCAGAGACTGTACAAAGAGTGGATACATTAAAAACTCGAGTATTCGAATGATTTCACTGACAGATTTATCGGGACCTGTTCCTTCGCGTGCTCTACATTTACTTTGTTTACGCAAACGTGTTCCGGTTGAAAAACGCCGCGGCCCGCGCGGCGTATTTATAACAAAAGGGAAGGAATTTCCGGAAGCAGCGAAGTTTCCGAGTGATTTTTAAAAAGGGATAACACCGTTAAATTTAGCCGCGCGTCGTTTGTAATTTCGGATCACGGTCGGCTCGTCCTATTTCGTCTGACAGCTGTTTCAGTCTCACCCCCGCGTTACAGCCGACGTCTAGGCCTACGTATTTCCGGCCCGGATGGGCTGGCCGCCACACGCCACACGGAAGTTGTCGCACGCGCTCTTCCGCAGGATGGAATTGGTAATAATTCATGAAGTTCCCGTGCCTACTAGCGCCCGGATCCGTCTTATCCTTCTGCCTTTCCTTAGATGGTGGTGGCGGCGAGTCGTTCGACATTTTGAAAAATCTGAAATGCAGTGAGTCATCGGCCGGTTCACAATCGAATAATATAGATTAATTCAAATATGAACAGCTATAAAGATATAGAATTTTGTTTCATAGTGTTACGTGTGAATTTGATAATGCGTGTATTCATTTTATACTTTTTTTAGTGATACCAGTGAAACTATTGAACTAATTATTATTTGTCAAGATCATTCTGTATTGTTTAATGCAAATTTTAATATTATTCATTACGTAAACTGAATTTAAATTGAAGTTAAAAGTTTAATACACTATAATAATAGAGAGAGATATATTTTTTATTATAATATAAGATTATTATTTTTCTTTAGAGAAAAATGATCTTGATGTTGTACTTCTTTTTGAAAACATGAATCTTTTGCAGTAAAGCTAATTCGACGGTTTTTTCCCAATGTTTGTGGACTGTTTATATGAACGATTCTCTTTAACCATTCTTATAAATCAAAATCTGAAGTTACCAAATCTACTCTTGGTAATTAATTAACATCACCGTCATGCATTATTTATTAACATGGAAACACTCGAATTATTTTAGTAAAAGAACAACAGTTTCTTCTCGTTTCTCTGATGTATTATACTCTACGTTAGTTTCTTAAGTTCTCCAGGGTTTCACGGACGAAGCAATTTAGAATAGATCTGACAGCTAATTGAAATTGCATGATTCCTTCCATCTCACCTTGTGGGTAAAAAATTGGTGGCCGGTGACTTTAAAAATTGTTTAAGAAAGACTGGAATATTGCAACACGACGCATCTTACAAAACATCGATCATCCGAAACCAATTAAGCCGGTCTACAATACATTTATTCGTAATGGCGTAACTATCGCGGATAATTAGGTGATCTATTTACAGTAAGACGCCCTCTATAACGATGAGATCACCGCCATACTTCGTTGAAACTTCGTCTCTTGCGCAATTAAACTGAATTCTCACTATCCGTTAACATAGCTGTCTGCTTGCTTCCGTCGAGATGTGCCTGAAACGAAATGTAACTGTAACAGTGTGAATTGTACCATACAAATCTCGTCGAAAAGTTTACCGCCACGTTGACAGACTGATTTCCAAGCGAATTTCATGCAATGACGCGTGAGGTCAGAGCAAAATGTTCATTCTAAAAAATGTACAGGGTGTTCACGCAATTATTATGAGCCTGTTCCATTAATTTATTAATTTATTAACTCATGCGCGATCGTTGACGCAAGTTCTTTTCAGATTCTATTTTTGGTTGCCGCTGACGTAAATTCACGTCTTTCCAAATATTTTCTTTCAAAATATTTTATTCTTCTCCTCTTTTGGATCTGCGACTTCTTTAATGCCTTCATTTTTCAAAGTTTTTCATTTCAAACAATAGATCGTTACAAAATTGATATCTTAAAACAAATTTTTTAATTTTTGCCTTTGTTTTAATGTCAGTTTGTGGCAATTAGTGTGTATAAGAATTATTAATCTGTATATTAATGTGTATTAGAAAAGCAAAAGATTTGCCAGTCGTGAATGTATTAATTTATGAATGCAATTATCTTCGAAACTATTTGTCATTTAAAAAATGTCTTAAATAAGTTTTCGAAATAACACTTTTTTACAGAATGACCTGTCACATTGATTAATGCAAAAAATTGCTTGGAAAAAATAGTAATGACTTTCATATCTCTTATACACGTTAACCTAGAAATAAAGCAAATGTACCAAAATACTGTCCTTTCAAAACAGAAGAATTTTTTTGAGACATTTTTTAAATAATGATTAGTTTCGAAGATAACTATACTTATAAATTAAAATGGGACTCTTTGTATATTTAACGTTCCTCTCGTAAACAATAAATACATAGAAATAATAAAAGAAGGTTGGAAGAAACATTTTAATATTTTGTACTATTATAATTACTATGTAGTATTTCTTATTGATAAATTTGCGTAGTATGTTCAATGTATTTTCCATGCAGAATAATATACTTTTCACCTGAATGAATTACATTATTTATAATTTTGCCTTCTACCAATGTTGACTAAGACAATGATAGATACATTTACATAACTTTTTCGTAGGTCATTTACATCTTTGAACGGTGTATTTTAAACCATACATTTAACAGTGCTCCATAAAAAGCAATTTAAAGGTGATAAATCTAAAGATCTTGTCGGCCATTTCACACGTTCGTACGATTCAATCCACTTGTCCCAACTGATATTATTCAGGAAATTACTCACTACTCTGCAATTACGAGGTGGTACTCAAGCTGTTGAAAACATATATTATGTATCTTGGACAATGGATGATATCAATGCTTCTCCGTGGTTAGTGAAAAACAATTCAATATTCTTACAAGTTTCAATAGCATTTTGTCAATTATGCCTTATTACATATTTACACTAAATCGTTCCTAGTTCGAATTTTGTTTCTCTTTTTAGTTTTAGATTTTCACTACTGAGTTTTCATATTATACGATCTATCTTAGTGTATATTACTAAAACATTGCTTGGTAATATTATTTAGTACATAATAATAAAAAAGTATATATTATGTTTTAAAAAATTATAAGTCATTCTCGTTTCTCCAAAAACATTGCAAACATATTTATTAAAAAAAATAAAATACTTCTATTATCTCTCTTTAATTATTTTCATATAATTACTGCTTACGAGAAAAACGCAGGCTAATAACCGCATGAACACCCTATATTATTATAAAATATCAAATAAACGTAATGTTTTAATTTAGGCATTCATTTTTTATTCATAATACTGTAGTAGCATTATTGAAAATTATAACTTTTTAATTCTGATTTACTATAAACTACATTGAAATGTGCCATTAATTGTCACATTAAAATTAAGTTATAACTTAATCCGTTAATATTTTAATTCATTAATTCATTACTCATGAATTATAATTGTCACTATTAGTGGCACGTAAAGTAGCAGTCACCTTCACAGCGAATAGCTTAGCAGATATCAAAAATTCATCTAACAGTTACCAGAGAAAATATTTACTTTGATTCGAAGAACAGTTTCAATATGTAACGTTGTCGTCTAGACATCTTTGATAGGTTACGGTAAAAACAATGCGAAGCGGCTATAAACACGTGATAAAGTATGATAAAGTAAGAATGAGGGTCAGAGACGTGGTAAGAACGGAAGGATTGAGGAGATAATTCGCTGGTGTCCGCGACCCAAATAAATGCAGCCTTCGATCGACGTTCGCGGTTGGGTACGAGGAAGGCCTGAGAAATCGATGATACATTGTCTTGCTATACCCGCAGAGAAACTCAGCTTCATTTACTGATATTACTGGTAGCAATTTTATCATAGAATTGGATTCTCGGTGTGAAACTCATAATTAACTATATCATTTAGGATATATTGGATTCATGCAAAAATGTCGACATCTTTTATGCATGGTTAACAAAAAAATGTTTTTCTTCGAAACAAATAACATTTGTTTTCAAACTATTATAACGCGTATGAAGAACATTCCTTTTTTCGTTTTTACTTCGTTTTGGTTTGGTCAGCGAACTATTGAAAACTTTTTTTATTTCTTGTAAAAATACGTTAACACTTTTGCATCAACGTAATACATGCCGTTGTTTTAAAAAGTGTATAAGTCCATTTTTGGAAAAAAATGAGTTGATGGCAGTTTTAGTGAGGTATAGGTATCCTCTTTTTATATTTATAATCGTACAATCAATGACGAACGATATCCTCATAAATTAATCAAAAGAAATTTAACTGTGAAATGTTATCGCAAAAATGTTTTCTTTGAAAGTGGAATATGTAAGTCCACTTGCGACTAAAAAATCGTTTATTTTCTTTAACCATTTTATTAATTATTATTGGATAATAAAATTTAACAAGTTTATGGTTTTATAAACATCACCCGAATTGATACCAATATTTTTAAGTTGATTCGAATGCAAACCCTTAAATATTTTAATGCATGAAAAAATGGACTTATACCACTTTAAATAAAAACGACATATATAATATATATTATCTATATATATGTAATTAATTATACCAACAGGGAGGCTATTTTTACACGCTTATGACACATATATATGTCAATAAAATTGACATAAATTATTAGATGCAAAGGACGAGACTGAATGGTTAATATAATTATTCGTAAATATTTAAAGATATTTGCAAAAAATATAAATATAGTAAAAGTATGGAAATAAAGAATTATATTCTTTCTATATTATCAATTACATGTACATTTGTGTTCTGATATCTTATGTTCGTGTACAAATATTAGTTAATAACTGAACACAGCGCTTTATCTTTATAAAAATATATATTTTTCTAGATCACTTTATCAAGACTGGAAAGAAACAGAAATTCGATTTACGAAACTTAAAATTTAATAACAAATACAGAAGCATTGAAGCTAATCACATTATTAATATTTGTTTAAGTATCTTGTTATTGTAATGTAATTTATTATTTATGCATAATATATCAAGTGTAAGAGCTCTTTTGTTTCTCATTATACATGTATTATTCTTTACAACTATAATATACGATGAATTATGTTACTAATTCGTAAATAAATAAATATCGGCAGATTATTATCAAATTTTTACTTTGGAGGATATACTTTATGTGAAAAGCATCCGAAAGAGTAGTGAAACAATAAAAAATCTATATTAACACTGAATAACAATTATGATTAGTTATAACGGTATAACGAAAAGAATAGCAGCTTAATAGTATAACAGTGATAATTTATGTTACTCATGTTTACACAGTATTTTACTAAAACCAGACTAAAAGAAAATAATGTCAGTGAGTCGAGCTACATATATACACACGAGTATTTAGTGTTAAATAGGTCATTAACCAGAATTATGCTAAATTAATGAACACAGAAAATTTTCCTTTCGTAATCGGACTTTAGTAATCGCTTAAACACTTTCTAGGAACATATAGAAACGGATATTTGAATAAATATTGCGCATGACTGTGTGATAAGAGAAAATCTTCGCCAAAGAAATAGTACATCCACGATCCTCTGTCACAATAATTTGGCAACCAGGGAGCACATACTACCTTCCAATGTCGGTTGCGACACGTTTCCTTCCACGCGTCGTTTTTATTTATACACGTGTCCAATAGTTTTTGCACCCCCTTGCGTAAAACCGATTATAATCGAAGGAAAGAGAATTTCGAAACGCCGAGTGTAATTCTTAAAATTCATAATAGGTTCGCGCGGAGCACGAATCGGGAGCCGAATATTAATCGATTTAATACTTGACATTCATACTGTCGTTTTTTGGTCTTTCGTAGGATTTAAATGACAATTTACAGATAATTTGCTGCATTCAGCTATAAACAAATAATTTTTGTTTGTTTCTTGCGAATGATACATTCCTCACTAATTCTCCGCATATTATTATCCTTTCAAGGATATTTTTTACAACCTTTTCTCTTATCAAGAACATTTTTTTTATGGTAAAATATTAGATACTTGAAATGTAATGGAATCACATTGTTATACAATTAAAACAAGCTACAATATAGTTTAAAAGTTTATTGTTGAAATGTTCAATTAATATTCATTGTTTACGAAACCTTACATCCTTACTGTTAGCCTACAATGTCGAATTTTGAAGATGTTATATAGAATTTAAAAATCTTTTAAACAATTTTTAATGTGCTGACTGTGTGGTAGAATATTACATATCCCACTATTTTTTAAAACATTATTATTTTTTTGTAAGCATTCCTCAGTTTCTTAACCTTCACTATTTTCCATTTATGCTACGTTCTTATGTGTCGTTGAATTTTTATCATTTTACTATAACGGTCCATATAATTGGAACATAGTAATTTTATTAATTAAAAATATTTCGAAAGGAGTGATGATTAATACTATTTATATAATACCTGAATTCTTCCATAATTTTATAATAACATGTTATTAATTAATAAGTTTAAATTTAAAGAGTAAATTGCATGAATCAATTCCAAAAATAAC